GTTGTAAAACGGTCACCAGGCAATATTATCGTTTATCGCAATAAATTTTGAGACAATTAATCGCCCAGCAAAATTTGTTATCGTGACAGGCCTATATTCTAGCATTAATCCGTTTGTTTTAATTAAATGTTCTGTGTAATTTCCTATTCATGGAAAAAATTGACATAAAAGTAAAAGTTGTACAAATTTTCTAAATTAAACAAAATAAAGTATGCATTTTTTGGCTTAAATAAGCTTGTGAATAGGGTTTCTCACCTCTGCTGCCATAAAAGACAGGGTGTGCATGCCATGAGAAGCTCCCAGGAGCCCGCAGACCACAGCCAGGCCACAGCAGTCCAGGAGCAGGGAGACTAGCAGACAAAGTACTCTGACATGGCTGTTCATTGGAGTTGAAGGGGAGAAGGAAAGCTGTAAGGAAGAAAAGGCAGACTATTAGTATGCTGTGTTTTTCTCACAGGTCTCTCTTTCTTGAGCTCTAAGGGAAATTAGATTTTTTTTAGTTGTTTTTTCTTTTTTAGTTTAAAGTTTATTCATTTAAAAGCAACACAAATTCAACATACAACAAAAACACAAGTCACAAATTAAATTAAATGAAAGGTAGCAGAAGAAGAAAGAATCTTATAGTCTCTGCCCCTTTTTTACAAACAAACAAATTCAAAGAAAATATTCTTCAATTTACAATAATAAATTAGGGTCACAAGCCTTTGCAAAAACTAAAATTAATACGTCTAGATATACTACTACTACTAAATCTTCTTCGGGTGAAGTATACACAGCTTATTGGCATCTCTGTGAGCGTTTCAAAGAAAAATAAATCTAAAATGTTATCTCTAAATCATATGCACCAGTTTTAGCTCAGTGTTGCTATTCTCTCACAAGTACTGCAGCTTTAGAAATATTCTAAATGGGTGGTATATACAGTCATATGAAAAAGTTTGGGCACCCTTGTTAATTTTCCTGATTTACCTTTATAAATCTTTGATCGTTTGGATTAAAAATATCAGTTAAATATATCATATAGGGGACAAACAGTGATATTTGAGAAGTGAAATGAAGTTTATATGATTTACGGGAAGTGTGCAATAATTGGTTAAACAAAATTAGGCAGGTGCATAAATCTGGGCACCAAAAAAATAATAATAATAAATAAAAATAAAAAAACCTTAACTCAATATTTAGTAGATCCTCCTTTCACAGAAATAACATTCTCTAAACACTTCCTACAGCTTCTAATGAGAGTCTGGATTGTGGCTGAATGTATTTTAGACCATTCTTCTTTACAAAACATCTCTAGTTCATTCAGGTTTGATGGTTTCTGAGAATGGACAGCTCTCTTTAAGGTCGTATTCAGACCTGATAATTTGCTCCTCTTTAAACAAACCAGAGTACGTTTCCAGCGTTGGTCTGGACCTTTTGTGCAGGTGTGAACACACTCATGCGAACTCTGGTGCGGATCAAACAACCGAACAGAGACCTGCTTTTTGAGGTGGTCTCGGTTCGTTTCCAAATGAACTCTGGTGCGGTTCGCTTCAGTTTGCTTCTGGTGTGAATACAGACCAAACTCTAACCGAACCAACTGCATTAAACATGCACCTTTTTGGACTTCACAGGCCACCGTCGCTGAGCTAAATAAACTAAAATCATACCTGTTTCATCGTCTCCTGTTAGCAGCTCTACTGTCAGCAAGTTGTGGGTCAGAACACGCAGAGCACCTCGTCTCCTTTGGGTTGCGGGACACATTTGCTGACGCCGCTCCAAAATTAGAATATCATCACGGAACCTCCATTAAATTAGCTGCTTCTGACATTTTACATGCTATTGCAGTTGTACTATCAGCAAAAATGTGCACATCAGAACCGCAGCATGCAGGACTTCCTTGTTTTTCTTCTGGGTCTGTGGCTCAGTCCCGCCCCCGTCCTTTTTTTGTCCAGTGGGAGCAATGATCGTCAGCCTCATGGCTTTGTTTACAAGTTAGTTTGTTTGCAAAAAAGCACAATGTGAATGCAAACCGCACCAAACGAAAAAAAAAGTCCATTTTTGGTCCGGACCAAACAATTGGACCAAAGGACTTTCCTGGTCTGAATACACCCTAAGTGACACCACAGATTTTCAATAATATTCAGGTCTGGGGACTGAGATGGCCATTCCAGAACGTTCTACTTGTTCCTCTGCATGAWGGCCTTAGTAGATTTTGAGCAGTGTTTAGGTTCGTTGTCTTGTTGGAAGATGCAGCCCCAGCTTCAGCAGCTTCAGCTTTGTCACTGATTCCTGGACATTGGTCTCCAGAATCTGCTGATATTGGTTGGAATCCATGCATGCCTCAACTTTAATAAGATTCCCAGTCCCTGTACTGGCCACACAGCCCCACAGCATGATGGAACCACCACCAAATTTCACTGTAGGTAGCGGGTGTTGTTCTTGGAGTGCTGTGTTCTTTTTCCTCCATGCATAACGGCCCTTGTTCTGCCCAAATAACTCTATTTTAGTTTCATCAGTCCACAGCACCTTATTCCAAAATGAAGCTGGCTTGTCCAAATGTGCTTTAGCATACCTCAAACAGTGGACCTCGCACAGTGGAGACTGAAAGCTGAAATCTCTCAGATAGCTTTCTGTATCCTTCCCCTAAACCAAGACGGTGAACAATCTTTTTCAGCTCATTTGAAAGTTGTTTTGAGACTACCATGCTACGACTCTTCAGAGAAGATGCAAAGAGGAGAAAAACCTACAATTGCCCCCCTTAAATACCCTCTCATAATTGGAGTCACCTGTGTATGGAAATCAAGGGTCACTGAACTTACCAAACCAAATTTGAGGTCCAATAATTAGTTCTAAAGGTTTTGAAAGCCATAAAATGAAAACGGTGCCCAAATTTTTGCACCTGCCTAATTTTGTTTATCCAATTATTGCACTTTCTGTAAATCATATCAACTTCATTTCACTTCTCTAATATCATTGTGTTTGTCCCCTATATGATATATTTCACTGATATTTTTAATCCAAACAATCAATGATTTATAAAAGTAAACCAGGAAAATTAACAAGGGTGCCCAAACTTTTTCATATGACTGTAAAAAAAAAAACACATTTTCCACATGGCTTCAAAGAAAAATGCACATAAAATCAGTGATGAAGTCAGAGTACTGTAGACAATATCAGCATGCACTTCAAATGACTGAGTGTGTGTTTGTGTGTGTGAGTAAGATTCCAGTGTCATTTTTTTATCTGCTGATTCACATTCAGGTTTCCACTTGTCATATGTTCAAATACATCAGATATAAACATGAGTTCCCTCTACAGTTCGCAACGTGCTTTAAAAAGAACACAATTTTTGTATCACAGCTGCCTTCTATTGCACTCTCAATAAACATTTCACTGCACTTCCTCACTTGTATTTCATGCTGTGAAAATGCATCTCAAAGACTTGATGCACGAGCAATAAAACTGTGGTTATCAGAGTTTATCCAACTAAAACCGATGACGCAAAATTGGAGAAATCTGGCTGCTTATAGAAAAACTCAAACAAGAAAAAGCAACATTTCTTTTGAACGTCATTCCACACATAGCACTGTCCTGCTAAACAACAAAAAGTACATTAGGACTTAAAAAAACTGTCACTACAGAACATGCTCAGAGCAAATTTAAGCCCAACACAACCCCTTAAGAGTCATAAAAAGCCAAAGGACTTCAAACTGATATTGATTACAGAAAATATTTAAGGATTTACTTATAACAATTCCAACAGCAGAAGAACACGACACTACACACATGCACCAAAAGACTTCCTCGCCTCACCTAAAAAGAACCCTGCTGAATCTTTCATCTCGAGTTGCTCAACCTAAATGTGTTATCTTCAGCCCTAAGCTAAAAACCTCAAGTAAAGGGGAAACAGGAAAACAGCTGGTGTGAGCACAGCTCACTAAGCTTAAATAAAAGCAGATCTAGAGTTAAGCTCCAATGCAAAACTAGCACATAGTTGTGTAGACAAAAAAAATAAAAGAAAAATTGCAGAACATAAAATACTTCCACAAAAAACTTTTTTGTTTGCAGCACTGGAGGGAGAAATTACCTTTACACAAAGGCAGTCAGTTTTACATCATGCTTACCATAGAAACTACAATATGTATTTTTTTTAAAATGTCACTGCTTGCAAGACGGTAATTAAATTTGATATTTTGTTTTCCCCACCATGCCAAGCACAATCTGATACAGGGGGGCTTGTTAATGTAGCGACTGAAAAAGTATCAGTGGACAAAACATACCAGACGAACAAGCTAATAATAGATTTGGAGCTGGAATAAGTAGGTCTGCACTCAGACCTTTAGGAGGCTTTTAGCACGCCTTTAAAAGTGTGCAAAATCAATGTGGAAGTTTGTAGGTTGGGTGTTATCAAATGGTGTTTTTTTTGTTTACCACATTGCACTTAGGCTCAGCCAAGACTGTTAACTAATACGTCCATTGTATAAGCTTTGAAAGAAATAGATTTTTTTCACAGCTGGTCTGCTCCTTTTTGGGTCACTGACTTATAATCAAACTAGAAGTGATGACAAGAACCAAAAGAGGCACGCTCTCTCAAAGACAAAGAAAGCATTTGTTCATTTGTTGGTAGAAGTACCGTATTTATTCAAGTATAATACGATCATCATTTTTTGAGCTTACAAAGCGTAAAAATCTAATTAAAAATAACCTGTGTATAACACTATCCCCCCACTTTATGAATGATTTTAGGGTTAAATTTCTAGTATTATACATGAATAAATATGTGACTTTAACACAAGGAAGATCTATTAAAGCAATCCCTGTTTACTAGAGGTGAGCGGATCAATACTAAATATCGACAATATCGATACCAGCACTGGTATTGATATTGAACAATACTCGTGTAAAAAGATCAATCCTCAAGCTTTGTTCTTTCCTGCACACGCTGACTGCTGCACACGTGGATTTTTCAAAGTCTACTCTCTGTCTGTAGTGCTGCACTGTGTCACACACAGCACGGAGCAGCGCA